AAGCCCCAATGTGGCAGATTCCAATCCTTCTAAAAATCTACTTAAGGCCATTCCTGTCTTAAAAACTTCCTTAGGATGTTTTGGTGAACTTGAACAACTGATTCTAAAGTTTACAAAGAGTAACAACAACCTGCGAGTCACAGAGATATTCTTTCAGAAGAAAAATAAGGTATATAAATTTATGGAGCAGTCACACGTCCTCAGCCAAAGTCCCGTTTGCAAACTAAGATTAATGCCGCATATCTCACCCAATTTCAGCGAGGCTCCATGGGCCCACCTGGAACAGGCAGCCTCCAGGCTTGGCCAGCACAACTCCCTGAGGAGGTAGTGGACAAGCTCACACCTTCCCAACAGGACAGATGCTCAGGAGGCCACTCAGGACTCGGGGGCACCCAGCCTTGGCCACTGCTCTAGCCTACCCTCACCACTCATGGGGCACTTTAACACAAGTTCTGAGTTAAGAACATGCACCCGAACCTCTCTTTGGTCAGGAAACACGGAACAGGCATCTAGAGCAGCTCTGGATTTCCATGAGATGCTGCTCACCCATGTGTAAAAAGGAAAATGATGTCACTGACCAGCGTGCAAGTAAAATTCTAGTTTATACTGTGGCTGCGGGTCGGAGCGATAGCGTAGCGGGTAGGGCATTTGCCTTACACGTGGCCGACCCAGGTTCGATTCTTCCTCCCCTCTCAGAGAGCCCAGCAAGCTACCGAGAGTATCTTGCCTGCACAGCAGAGCCTGGCAAGCTCCCCGTGGTGTATTCAATATGCCAAAAAGAGTAACAAGTTTCACAATGGAGACATTACTGGTGCCCGCTCGAGCAAATCAATGAACAACAGGAGGACAGTCCTACCGTGGCTGCATCTTATGGGGGAAAAATGAAAGTATGTAGTTCACAGAAAATATAAGTCATATAATGCTACGCACAGCTTCACTTATTTAAGACATATATATTTAGAATAAAGTCCCACAGAACCCAAATAATGCGGAACTTTGTGACCTTGGACTCTGGACTCAACGGACCCGGAACAGAGATCCTCTGTCTGCTTCCCCAGTCTCCAGGGACTCAGGGATCACATCCATAAGTCACACCCACATCCAGATAATCTCATCAGCCACCCTCCAGAACTTACGAATGCTCCTCCCAAACGAGAATATAAAAGGAGGCCCCGTAACCATACCACCAGACTCTGTGCCAGGCTGTGGGGCAGGTGAGAGCCCTCCCCACCCCAAGGGATCCAGCCCCGGCTGCCAACCTCCACTGCCCAACCACCGCCACACTCCAGGCTGCTTTCCGGACATATTATAAGACACTTCCTACCCATTTATGCCTCTTGGAGAGCCCGGCAAGCTAACGAGAGTATCCTGCCAGCACAGGCAGAGCCTGGCAAGCTCCCCGTGGCGTATTCGATATGCCAAATACAGTAACGACAACAGGTCTCATTCCCCTGACCCTGAAACAGCCTCCAATTGTTGGTAAAAGATGAGTAAGAAGAGGCTGCTAAAATCTCAGGGCTGGGAAGAATAGAGACGTTACTGGTGCCTGCTCGAGTAATTCAACGATTAATGAGATAACAGTGATACAGCGACAGTGATATATTTAGGACATATGTAAATATATATCCTAAAGAGAGGTGGGTTGAGAATGATCAGGAGCTGTTGTGTTAGCAAACACAGAGATTAGTAACTTGCCGGGGACACAAACTGTGTTGCCACTGCCGCATCATACAAGTGTCTGACTCCAGCCTCTGTGCTGTCACTATTCTGGAGGGATCCTCCCAGGTCACGCTCGAGGGGAAGGTCCTGTGCTCCTCAACACTCAGGCCCATGATGAGGAACTTTGGACCAAACTAGCAGAGCCTGGGGACTGGGTGACTGCATATGAGCTGGCCCCTAGGCCGTGTCGCTGACTACCAGCCTCTCCATCTCCAGAAGCGATTCCTCAGTCTAAGCTCCAGACTCGGCTTCCTCGATACCACCAGCAACCCTACCGCCTAGGGAAGGCCCCAGGAACACCCCCCAAACACCCCCCTCCAAAAAACAAACAAAAAACCCAAAAAAAACACTGACCAGTTTATTTGCATTTAAAAGAATAAAAAGTCACCATGTGGTGAAATACAAATCCAGAGGGAAATGCTTGTAAGAATAAAAGACTGTTTCAGGGTGTTAACAGGGGGAATCTTTCCAGCTTGGCAGTTTATTGATCTGGCCCGTGAGATATTAGAGTTAAACCCACTTGCTGAGAATGTTCCCGGAGTCTTCACTTATAGCAGGGGGCAGCCCTGCTCAGCTGACGGCCCTTCACCATGGTGCACTCCCCTAGCCAGGAGGGGCTGCTGACCTCGGCCAGACCCCTGGACCCATGGAGGTGACAAGAATACACTGAGATTGGGTCATAAAGCCCAGAATTGGGAGAAAAATCCAGAATTGGTCCTGACTTAAGGTAGCAGTTTATTTCTCGTATAACGAGATTTAAATTCAGTCACCATCTGGATGTGGAGATGACAATATCCCTTTACTTTCCTCTACGGGAAAAAAAATTGCTCATAAATCTCTTCCTTCAATCTTGATAACTGAGTTTCATTCACGGCACTTCCAAAAACAAGGGCTTTTTTTCCTTCCGTTCCATAGGCAATTCTAGGAATCTCTGGACACCAACGAGGGTGACCTACAACTCAGTTCTGACTATGGTACCAGGAATTAGTCCTGACTCTATGGTCAGGGCTCAGTCCCAAAGGCCACACTGAGCACCAGGCCCAAGTCCCAGGGCCCAGCAGGACTTCTAAGTGACCAGCTGTACATCTGGGTCCCTCCAATCCCTTCCTTGAGCTTGGTTGTTCCTTAGGTCCACTCATCAGCCTCAGAAAGTCACAGATTTGGGGCTAGAGAGACAGTACAGAGGCAAGGAACAATGAAATGATGAAATTTGCTGCATCTGGTTGGAACTGGCAGTAGCATCCTGAGTGAAGTAAGCCAGATGAAGACAGACATACACAGGACGGCCTCACTTCTCTGTGGTATAGAGAATAACTGGATAAAGAAATGTAGCGTAGTAAAGGGGGGTATCATATCACCCTTGACACCAAAGTTTAGGGATGACAGAGAAGAATAGAAATCAATGGAGAACGAAGAAGAAAAAGGGAAGTAATGGGTGAAGAGGCTTGCATTTAAAAGAATAAAAAGTATTCTTGTGCCTACAACGTACTCATCTAGGTACGTCTCGTGTCTGCTTGACGTTTTTCCTAGGAACGGGGTGAGGAAGTAAGGGAATAGGTGCCACCCCACTATAAGAGGGTAGGTTCAAGGGACTGGAGAAAGTGATGGGTTAAAGGTTGGTCATGGACACAGCTAACTGGGATTACTCCTCAGCACCACACAGAGTCCCCTCGAGTCCTGCCAGTCCCACCAGGATGCAGCCCCCAGCACAGAGCCAGGAGTGAGCCCTGAGCAGACCCAGGAGTGAGTCCTGAGCCCAGAGTCAGGAGTTAATTGGCTCCGAATGATATTCACTCCTGGGCATCTCTCCTCTCGACTTAAGCCTCAGTTGCCCTTACTTCCTAGCACCCCAAAAGCAGGGTCCCGAAGAGGGACTGGATAAACCCAGGGCAAGCTGTGAGCTACCCTGGCATCGAAAGGGGCCAGGCCAAAGCACCACAATACTCAACTATGGACAAGCTCTGTCACGATCCAAAAAGATGTCACTGTCACTGTCTTCCTGTTGTTCATCGATTTTCTCAAGCGGGCCCAGTAACGTCTCCATTGTGAGACTTTGTTGTTACCGTGTTTGGCATATCAAATACATTACGGGTAGCTTGCCAGGCTTTGGTGTGCAGGTGAGATACTCTCAGTAGCTTGCCGGGCTCTTCGAGAGGGGTGGAAGATCAAACTCGGGTGGGCCATGTTGGCTGTGTGCAAGGCAAACGCCCTACCCGCTGTGCTATCGCTCCAGCCCAAAAAGTAACAACTGAATTAGGATCCTGCTAGGGTTAGGAAAGATTAATCTGGCCTGAGCACTGTAGTCTGAGATCTATAGCGAGAAGTCCCCAGGAGAGCCACCCTACAAGCCCAATGTATCTCTTACTATGGCCATACAAAATTACTAATATTATTAAGGAACAAAATTAAGATGAATGTTTAAATGACTATTGGACTAAGGAAAGAAAATACATACCCTGGGTGGTATTTCGCCCCCTTTAGAGCATCTCCCAGCTGGCTGCAGGAGCTCAGGAAGGGTTTTCATATGTTGACTGTGTTACCAGACCTAGATGTGGTGACCTATGTGTCAAGGTTTGGATGGTGTGAGAGACTAGAGAGACCAGGACGGCAGGTTGAAGGTGGAGAGACTAGCAAGGGGGACCAGAGGAGACGGGAATGAGGGGGAGGTGAGACTGGAACAGGACATGGAGAGAATGGAATAAACGGCAACTGATCACCAACCAAGCTGGCCCTAGTTTTCTCCGTCTGCTCATGGCATCGGCCATTCTGGGTGGGGAAGCAGCCCGAGACCACTGAACACAGGTGGTGAGAGAGAGGTGTGGGCTTCTTATTCGTTTTATGAATACACATTCCCTGAGCACAGAGCCAGGAGCAAGCCCCGAGCACAGAGCTGGGAGTGACCCTGAGCACAGAACCGGGAGTGAGCCCCGAGCACAGAGCCAGGAGTGAGCCCCGAGCACAGAGCCAGGAGTAACCCTGAGCATAGCACCGGGAGCCCTGAGCACTGGGCAGGAGTGAGCACAGTGAGTGAGCACAGCACCGGGAGCTCTGAGCACTGAGCCAGGAGTCCTGAGCACTGGGAAGGGAGTGACCCTGAGCACTGCTGGGTGTGACCCCAAATCAATCAACCCTGGGGTATATCTGAGTGCCTGTACACTGAAGCCAGTGCCCCTCGCCTAGGTCTGCGGCCCTCAAAGAACTGTGGTAAAGCTTCTACCAGAACAATTCTTCAAAATATATTTCACACCAATAACATCATTAAAAAATGCATGTGAGATTAGATTAAAATATATTTTTATCAGAAATAATCTTGGCAATAAATAATCCTCCGCTGCGGTTCCATGGGCACATGGGCATATGGTCGCAGAGCCATGCATGTCCGATTGCCCGCACGCACGCGGTTCTTCCTCCTGGCAATCCCGTGTACCAAACAGCACGTCCTGTGTGCTGACGGGCACACAGAGGCCTGTCCAGTCGCTGGGAGCAGGCTGGGCTGTGCCGAGCACAGCTTGCACAGAGGCTTCCCCCCACCAGTGCAGGGGCCACGGGCCTGGGGCGGAGACGAGGCAGCAACAGCTGGATCCTCCGACAAGTGTCTCTCAGGAGCATCCAAGCAAGTGCTGAGTCCACACACCAGCCCGGCTCCGGCCTCAAGCCCAGACATCCTGCAGGTAGCGCTGCTCCTCCCGTAGCTGGGCCAGTGCGTTCATGGCCTCCAGGCTAGTCAGTCCCGCCTCGCGGCCCAGGATCTCCACCAGCGCCTCGTTCACGCCCCGGGCCATGTTCTTGGCATCGCTGCAGGAGACAGGGGACACAGCACCCACCCCAGTGACCAGGAGACATTGGCACCCACCCAGTGAGAAGCAGGAGACAGGGAACACGGCACCCACCCCCGTGAGAAGCAGGACGTGGCCCAGGGCACCCGGCCACTGCCCAGCAGGCACCCGGCAACTGCCTCACCCCTGCTGCAACTCAGATATGCACACGCGCTGCGTCCTGCAAGGCCTGTGGCCTGACAAGGGCTGTACACAGGCTCAGCCTGGGAACCCGACTCCACTGACCAGCCAGCTCCTTGCTCAGCTCGCCATCTGGGCACCCACACTTCAGGACACCAATGTCTCTTACACGGGCAGGGACACATGCACATACACACAAACGCACACGCACACAAACGCACACACATACACACATGCATACACATACATACAAACACACACAAATGCATACACAAACGCACACATGTACAAACGCACACACAAAATATGCACAAACACGCCCACACACATGCACACATACATGCAAACACACACAAACGCATATACAAAAACATGGACACAATCATGCACACACACGTGCACACACCAAACGCACACACATGCACACACATACATACAAACACGTACACACACAAACGTGCAGACACGCACATGTGAACACAAACACCAGCAGGGCCAAGCAAGTCACCTTCTGCACTGTATACACACACACACACACACAGTGCCCTATGCAGTGTCCACAGCACCCTACACTCTTCACATATACACACGCACGTGTGTACATACACTAGCAGGGCCCAGCACAGCACCCTCAGCATTGCGTGTGCACACACACACACATGCCCGCTGCAGCATCCCCAGCACCCCATACCCCTCACGCGCACACACACCCACCCTCCACAGCAAACTCCTCCCTCCACTGTGCTTCTCTCTCGTGTATAAATGCTGGCGCTGCTGGACAGCTCCCGGCTGACCAGAAGGAGCCGCCAGGACTGCACTGGTGGTGGGCGGCAGGGCCCGCATGCACAGTGTCTGCAGCGGCCTGGGTCAGCCCCATGCGTCCACCCACCGCCACGAGCAGAGACTGGGCGACCAAGATTCACTACAGGCTTCGTGTCCCTGCCCAGACGTGCGCCTCGAGGCCAGGCCCCAACAGACACATGACCCTGCTAGGTCGAGGGCTCACCCGCACATGAAGCACTCGCCTGCACACGGAGCACTCACCCGCACACGGAGCACTCACCCACACACGTAGATGCAGCCGCGCTCCTGCAGGAGGGCGCGGGCCAGCTGCGCGCCGTGCCGCTGCATGTGGTCCTGCACGTAGCGCGCAGGTGCCGCCTCCCCAGGCGCGGGGGCGTCCCTCGAGAAGGAAACGTGCAGGTGCGTGAGGACGCCGAGCTTCTGGAAACGTCGGAGCTCATCTCTGAAAGGCAACCCTGGGGCGTCAGCTGGGGCGCTGAGGCCAAGGCTGGCACGGATGGGGGTGCAGGGGCGGGAGAGAGACGTGGACGGACACGCCCACGCAGGCCGGGCGTACCTGAACAGGTAATCCCTCTCACGGTGTCTGCAGCCGAAAAACAGCCACGTGGCGCCGAAGGATCCCTCGGGGAGCTGCTCCTGCAGCTTCTCCCTGCGTGGGCGGGAGGCACAGGGAGGGCGTGACCATGTGTCACAGACAGGCCCCTGGGGACAGGGGGGACCAGGGCCATGACACGGGGACGCCCCTGGATAACACTCAGACAAGATAAAACAAGAAGGGGCCAGAGCAAAAGGAGCAGCGGGTAGGGCACTTGCCTTGCTCGCAGCTGACCCAGGTCCAAGTCTCAGCATCCTATATGGTCCCCCTGAGCACCGCCAAGGAGTAATTCCTGAGCTCAGAGTCAGGAGTAACCCCTACATTGCTGGGTATGGCCCAGAAACAACAACAACAAAGTGTGGCGGGGAGTGGTAGTATAGCTAGTATTTGCCTTGCATGTGGCTGACCCGGGTTTGATCCCCGGCATCCCATATGGTCCCCTGAGCACTGCCAGGAATAACTCCTGAGCATTGCTGGGTATGGCCCAAAAAGAAAAGGAAAAAAAATTTTTTTTAATTAAAAAAATTGATTTTCTACCCAAAGGTTATCAGCTCGATCTCTGGGGGACAGCACGTAACTGCTGCATCCTGGCCAGAGACAATGCAGAATGAAGGTACTTGTCCTGCACGTGGTCAGCCCGTTTGACCCCCAGCCCCCCAGGCGAGACCCCTGAGCAAAGAGCCAGAAGCATCACTGGATGCAGACAAATAAATAAAACCAAAATCAAGCAAACAAACAAAAAAAAACACACAATTGTTCCCTCTTTGACACACATGGAGAGAAGCGGTTCATTTCACTCAGTTCTGTTCTCTGACGAAGCTGCAACCCCATGCCCCGGTGATGGGGTCGTCTACTCTGACCTCTCACCCCGAGACGTGTCACTGCACACCCACTGGGGACACGCCGGAAGAAGGGCTGGCAGTGATCTGGGAGGGGCAAGGCCTTGGAGACGGTCACTGCGGCCACGTCCCCCTAACACATCTGAGGTGAGCTTTTATAAATCGTTGGTTTGGGGCAGACCCTGGCAGTACTTGGGGTTGACTCCTGGCAGGACTCAAAGGACCACATGGGGTTCCGGGGATCGGATCCACGCTGAATGCAAATGCCCTCCCACTGCTCTGGCCCCGGGTGCTACTTGTTTTTAATAAAAAGCTTAGAAACACTAAAAATTACGAAGGAACTGAAAAGGGCTCTATCAATCAACGTTCCAGCTGGCACTGACAGGCAGTGTACTGCAGCCCACCTGAGGTGCAGGAAGTGCCCACCTGAGCTGCAAGAAGTCCTCACCTGTGCTCCAGGAACCCGATGAAGGGGGCTACGCCGGTTCCTGGACCCACCATTATGACAGGAACCGAGGGGTCCTGTGGGAGGTGAAAGGAGTTGGCAGCTCGCGGAGAGATGAAGATCTGAAACATGAAGCCAACGGTCAGTCAGAAAGCGGGAATCCTGGACAGAAGCACAAGGCCCAGGAGGCATTACATAGCGACGAGGCGGCCAGCAGCATCCGGACAAACAGCAGCGGGACACGGACGGGAACCAGGCACACAGTGCCCATTGATTGCAGGGAAAGTCTCAGTCCCGCACCCTGCACCCCACCCCTCCCACACCTCAGGGGCCCCGTCAAACCACCCAGTCCCTCCACACCCTGTACCTCGGGGGTCCGGGCTCCCTCGCCACCTTCTCCGTCGCACCCCAGCATGGAGCCCACCAGGCCTGCAAGCCAGCCGGTGCACAGCCCTCTGCGTACGGCCCCCGCTGAGGCCTCAGACGCAAACTCCAGCACATTGAAGACGAAGCGGAGCCGCCCGGGCCGACACAGGCTGGAGCTGCAGAGACAGGAAGGTCAGCCCAGGGCTGAGATGGAGAAACACACACACACACACACACACACACAAACACACCCCAAACACCGCCTACACATACACACATACCCCTCACACACACCACCCCCACACATACATACACACACGGGCACGTGGGCCACTCGGGGCCACGGGCATCCGAGCATACACAGGCAGAGTCAGGGCACAGGGCTGCAGCCCCCCCAGAGGCCCAACGTCAGCTCCCGGAAGGACCCTCCCACCCTCCCGTGGGCAGCTGGGAGCACCCAGGGCACCCCAAGACCAGGAGGAACTGACAGGCATGGCCGGGCCGGGCCCTGGGCGCCCTGCACTCAGGGAAGGAGATCCTGCAGGGGGGCTCAGACCGCGCTGCTGGGAGCCTGAGCCCTGGACATGGGTCAGTACCTTGCACAGGAGTATGGCCGGGGCTGCAGCTTCGGGAAATGTTCTAGAAAGAACAGAGATGGCAGTCACTCGCTCCCGGCACCGAGTATGAGTTACCGGCAGGGGTGGGGAAACGGAAACTGGAGGCCTTAAATGTGACTCCTGTTTCAGCAGTTTCAAAACAACCTAGTTCTGCTGTGAAAATTCTAGAGCACGTACAGATTCTCTGTGCTGGAGTAAGAATAATGAATGCTTCTACTGGGTTCCTAAGGTTACCAAGGACACCGAGGTTCCACCTGACAACTGCCTCTCCAGCCCAGAGGTAACAGGAATGGGGCCCACAAGCGCTTCGGAGCCAGGAGCCCCTGAAGAGCTCGGTGTCCTGGGTGACTCAGGCTGAGCAGACAGGGGAGTCCCTGGGCCCGAGGATGGAACTACGACTTCCATGGCCATGGGATGTGCTGATCACACTCGAGGCTTTGTCCTTATGACTACGTAATAAGCCCAGAAAGGAAGTGCAAATATAGATATTTAAAAATCAAATTATTCCCAGATCCAGTATTTCCAACCCGATGTTTTCTCTCTTTTTACAGCAGGTGGCCACAGGCAAGGGCATGGCGGGGCGGGCGCTGGTACCTCACGGGGTCCCTGAGTCTCCACCAGGAGTGATCCCGGAGCACAGAGTCAGAAGTGAGCCCAGAGAACTGCTGGGTGTGACCCAAAAGCCAAACAAAAAAAGATAAAAGAACACAAACACAGGAACACTTCTGGGTTCCACATGCTGCTGTGTTTTCAAGAGCAATGTAGCAAAACTTTGGAAAGAACTTCCTGAAACTGTTTAGGGTTTTAATAAACGCAAGAAAAGCTGCAACAGGGGATAGAGGCGATAGCACAGCTGGGAGGGTGTTCGCCTTGCACGCAGCCGACCTGGGTTCGATTCCCAGCATCCCATATGGTCCCTCAAGCACCACAGCTCATAAGTGCATGAGCCAGGAGTCACCCCTGAGCATCGCCGGGTGTGATCCAAAAAGAAAAAAAAAAAGCTGCAACAGAGAAGCCAATTTTAGGCTTTCGGTTCAGTTTTCATATATATTTAACAGAGAGTTCTAGAAATATATTGGGTGACGATTCTCTTAAAAGAAGAGGGAAAACAAACTTGCAGAAGCCACAAAGCCTTCGGCCCCACCTGACTCTCCCAGCTGACGGGGATGGCCCCAGTCACTCACCCAGCAGGAGGCCAAGCGGCGGCCGGCAGGATGGGAAGGCCCGAAGCAGGTCCCCGAGACAGGCACCTGCGTCCCGTACCCAGCGCCCGTAGTCGGCCGCGCCCTGCCGGCTGCACAATTCCTGCAGCCGGCGCCTCTCGGCCGAGTGGCTAGTATAGTCCACCAGGGCCCGCAGGAACGCCTGGATGGGGCAGAGAAGGGAATGGTCACTGGGATGCAGTGGGTCCCACGGGGTAGCTCACCCTGGGGTCAATTCTTACGGCATTGGGGCTGCAGAGACGAGCCAATGGGAAGGGCCCTGCACGTGCTCAGCCTGGGTTCAATCTGGGCACCCCACAGGGTCTGCCGAGTCCCATCAGGAATAGAGCCAGGAATAAGGCCTGGGCACTGCTGGGAGGGCCCAGCTCCACCCTCCCCACTACCCAGGAAGGGGCACTGAACACAACAGGCAGAGGCGCACGGCCCGAGAGCGTCCACGAGGCCTCTGGCATTGCCCCGAGTGGCAAACGCACGAAGTACAAAGGCCACGTCCCAGAACAGCAGGGACGCTCGCGTTGCCATGGCAAAGTCCAACCTGGGCACCAACAGCTCACAAAGGCCTTCTGTTTCGTGAGCTGCTGATTGCTCCTTCTGGAATCTTCACCATGAGGAAACTCGGGTGAGAGTGAGAAAAGCATAGGAACGCGATGAAAAGCTTCTGAGCGGCAGAGTTGAACTGAAACTGAATTTACTGAATTGAACTGAGATACGCGAGGCACGGTGAACTACCCCCAAAGGGCGTGTGGGGCTGAATCCCGGAGTTCGCTCTCCGAAGACCACCCAAGTGCAAAACCTGCGTTGCCGGAGGCCACTGGGCAGGAGCTCTGCCGTCTGGTGGTCTGGTGGCCAGTCCCAGAGCCGCCTGGTGGGGCGAGGTTGGGAGTTTCCCGAGCGCAGCGCGGCTCGGGGCAACACTGACATCTAGTGGACGCTCCACGCACAGCTCAGCCGGCAGGAGCCTCCATGGCCCCGGCAGCATCGGAACCTCCACAAAAGCCACAGGAGCTGACTCAGGGGCCAGGGGCAGCGGGGGCTGTGGGAGGGGTAGCGCTGCTCACACACGGCCGGCAGAGGCACAGCCAGCCCACCCAGGGCCGCTATAGGTCCCAGATCAGTCACTGCCGGAAACACTGCACCATCCCCGTGGGAAAATCCACCTCGAGAACCTCGTTTCGACAGATGGCAGAAGCTGAGTGTCTATCTGGGAGGCCCACAGACACCACACATGGCCCAGGAATGGCCGGGCTGACACGCCGGCAGCATCTGCTCCCACAGTGCCCCTCCCCGCACAGCAGTGCCAGGCCCCAGTACCTTCTTCGGGACTGCCCGTATGTCCACGCACCAGGTCAGGAGAGCCCGGAGCGAGCACCCTGCAGGGATGTGTGGTGGCAAGGCGGCGCCTTCACAGGGGACAGGAAGCGTGTGGGACAGAGAACATGGAGAGAGAGACTCGTGAGTACTTTTGTCCCTGAAAATACAATGACATGCAGCATTTCCCATGGTGCGTATTGGGGGGTGGGGGGAGATCCCACACACACGCAGTAGAGAGACCCACCCTCCAGGACAGATTCTGCAGGGTTCGGCTAGTCAGAGCACCCGGAGCCAGGCAGAGGAAACAAAAGCCAACTTTTCTACAAGAAAGAAAGGCCAAGCGACAGATTCTCAAAAAGAAAAGCATCTTAGAGTGACTGAGCGCCAGTCCAAGATTCAGAGAAAACAACCAAAACCCCCAACAACAAAAAATAAACTTTGCTTACTCATGGGGGGAAAAAAATGATCATCTATATGTATTAAATAAGCACTGAGAATTTTTTAAGAGAAATGGACATTGGGGGCTGGAGCAATAGCACAGCAGGTAGGGCATTTGCCTTGCACGGAGCTGACCCAGGTTCAATCCCCAGCATCCCATGTGGTCCCCCGAGCACCACCAGGAGTAATTCCTGAGTGCAGAGCCAGGAGTGACCCCTGTGCATCGCTGAGTATGACCCAAAACGGAAAAAAAAAAGAAAAAAGAAAAATGGACATTGAGAAAATACTTCAAAAGTTTCTGGGGCTGGAGCGATAGTACACCAGGTAGGGCTTTTGCCTTGCATGCAGCCAACCCAGGTTCGATTTCCAGCATCTGATAGGGTCCCCCGAGCACCACCACGAGTGATTCCTGAATGCAGAGCCAGGAGTAACCCCTGAGCATCGCCGGGTGTGACCCAAAAAGCCCCCTCCCGCCACCCCCCCCAAAAAAAGTTTCTTCAGAGCTCCCTGTGTTGTACTCGTAACGTAAACTTGGAAACAAGGTGACGGTAGGCTGGAGGGACGGATGCCAGGGCTGGGCCCGGCTCTGTGATCTGCCTGTGGGTCCAAACGGTTCCCTGAACATGGCCCAGAGCAAGCAGTCCTGAGCCAGCAGGCACGAGCCAGCAGGCTCAGAGACCCACAGGAGGCCTGCACCTGCCCCCTCATCCCAGAGAAGAAAAGGCAAACTGCAAACCTGCAAACTGGCCAGCATCCTGCAGTCTCTAGGGTGACCCACCCAGGGCAAGGACTGCTCGGGGACCCCGCGCCGCCGTACCTTTCTTCCGGGTGTCGGCCCTGAGCTCCAGCAGGACGTGGTGGTGCGCCTGGCTGGCCAGCTGCAGCCGCGCAAGCAGGCTCTGCACCTCAGCCTTGTCGTTGGGGCAGACAACATCGACAGCATCCCCAGGCTGGTAGGAGAAGTCTGTCTGCTACGAGAGCACCCGGCAGGGGACAGGGCCTGAGTGAAACGCGGGGCTCTCCTGCGGTGGGGAGGACGGTGGCGTCCTAAACACAGGACAGTGGACCCCGCGGAGGAGAAGGAAAGCGAGCCGACCACAGGGACCTGACAGGCCAGTCACGCCGAGCCAGGGAACAGAGACACCGCAGCTTGGAGTGTCTGAGGAGATGGCCCGCCAGCCAGAGCAGGCCCTGTGCCTCTGAGCACTGACTGGAGGGGGACGGAGGAGGGACCACGCCTGTCCCACCCCCAGGGACACGAGGAGCCGCAGAGACCAAGAGGGTTGGAGCACCGGCCGCCCCCCTCCATGCACTCTGGGAAGCTCCCCAGTGGGAAAGGGCACTCGGTTCCACCAGGGAAACTGCAAGTGGACCCTGGGCTTAGGCCCGGGCTTGGGGCTGGCTGGGAGCGCAGGGCAGTGGTCACTCAGAGCAGGGCTGGAGGCCGCTAGCTGCACACTCACACCAAGGACCTGCCAGGGGGTCCCTGCCAGCCCTCACTGGTGGTGACAAGAATGGGTTTGAGGAAGCAAATGCGGGCTGCAGGGTGGACACCGGCATCCGACCACACGGGCACATGGGCATGAGGACACTTGCATGACAGGGCCAGAGACAATACAGGGGAGGGCGTTGGCCTGGCATGCAGCCACCCGGGTTCGATCCCCGGCACGGCACACCACATGGTCCCCTGAACACGACTAGGAGTGACGACTCCTGAGCACAGAGCCAGGAGTCAGTCCTGAGCAATGCCGGTTGTGGCCAACAATATTTTTAAGTCAATGAATCTGGCTTTTCTGCAGTGTTGCCCCATCTCAGGGCCTTCCCGGGGATAAAGGGAGGTGCCGTGTGACCCCAGAGCCCCTCACTCATGTCTTGTGTCTTTGGGTTTGGGGGCCACAGAAGGCGGTGATGGGGGGTGGGGGCAGTGCTGGACTCGAGCCCAGGCCTCAGGACACACGGCCCTTGGGTCCTCTCTGGCCTCCAACAGGAGCTGGGCAGGGCCATGCAGGGGAGTCAGAGGGTGAGGGTCCCCGCAGAAAGCACATGACACAGGAGCATGAGTGGAAGCAGAGCGAGCACATGACTCACACCTGGGCGCGGGCGTGGGACCAGGGGACAGGTCAGGCATGCACCCACCCTCCCTGCCCCCGCCCACTCACCGCAACATCCACTTCCACCATGAGGGCGGTTTTCACAGCATCATTGGCCGTCAGCTGAACCGCCTTGCAGATTGGGACCCGGAACACCGGCTGCGATGTCACCAACACTGGCATCGAAGTCTCCTCCTAGGGGGCGGGGAAAAAAGAGTCACCACCGGGAGATGGGACCACCTCAGCCCTGTGCTGGGCTAATCCAGGCGGGAGGCTGCAGGGCAGCACCACCCATCCCCAGAGAACGTGGCCGGACAAACCCTACCTCAGGCTGAGGCTCTGCAGTTCAGGCCCAGAAGGAGTGGACGCTAACCTGAACCACGGATGTGGAGGCCAGTCAAACATGAGCTGGCAGTGTGGGTGGGGCCCGAATGGTCAGTGTGGTCAGGGGCCCGAACGGTAAGCGTGGTCAGGGGCCCAACCAGTCAGCGTGGTCAAGGGCTCAAACAGTCAGTGTGGTCAGAGGGCCAAATGGTCAGCGAGGTCAGGGGCCTCAAATCGTCAGTGTGGTCAGGGGCCCAAATGGTCAGCATGATCAGGGACCCCAAACTTAACTGGCCCACAGACCCCTTTGCCGAAGGAAAAAAAAAACCCCTTGGTCCAGAGAGGGCCCCCAAACACCCCAATTCACTCCTGTACCTCAGACTGTTCCGGAAACATCTGGGAAAGACAGGGATAGGTCACGGGACCCAGAAGGGTGGAGGCTCTTTCCACAGTGCTCAACCGAGGACGTTAGCACTCCCACCCAGACCATGCAGGACAAGGGCCCCAGGCAGTGAGCACTGAAAGAGGGCCAGTGTGACTAAGGGGCTGAACTGAGGGGGGGCGGGGGGCCCTCGCGTGGTAATGTGGAGTTCTGGGCGCATACTGGATGCCTACACGTCCACACCCGTGGGTCTCAAAGAGGCCACACATCCCTTGGAACTACCCAGACAGACCCCCAGACGCTGAGCAGAGCACCCCCACCCCATCCCCCAAGATGATGCCTGAGCCCCCAACCCTGGCTCGCAGTACCAGAGATGGAGGTGTGGAGTGGGAGCCGGAGAGGGACTTCACCACTAGGACCTCAGCTCGCTGGCGGGGGTGGAAGCCCCCAACCGACCCTCGGCAGTCACAGATCTCGGCCTGCGGGGGTCTCCGATGCACACAGCCCACAGGTTGCTGTCCCTCTGCACCCACAGGGGCACCAGGGAGCGTCTGTCCCACCCACTGTCCGCTCTGACAATGCCATGGGCCATCCATGGGGCTAGGACAGCAGGATCTCACGCCAGCGCCTCTTACAGACCAGGCTGAGCTGTCCTGGGGTGAGTCAGAGTCGCCCACAGGGACCCCGGAGCCCGCCCAGAGGGAGCCCTGAACACAGAGCCGGACTGATCCCCGAGCACAGAGTCGGGAGCGAGCACCGAGCAGAGCCGGGAGCGATCCCCGTGCACAGAGCTGGGAGTGAGCCCCAAGCACAGAGCCGGGAGCAAGTCCTAAGCACCAGCAGGTGTGGCCCCAAAACAAAAAAAACAAACCAATAAATAGATGGGCTCGATGACCAGAACCCACCAGTAAGTGACTCGTATGTGGGGTTTGGCCGGTGCTTGGGGACCCCACAGTGCCGGGCGGGCAGCTGCTGCTCCCCACAAGGGCAGTCCCATAGGAGGCCAGGAGCGTCCCCCGATGCAGACGTCTCCCGACTGTCTGGCCAGGTGCCCGCCCTCCGCATATCCCCAGGATTAGTAAGTCCCTGCCCGGTCACTCCGCGACTGCCGGGTCCAGGGACAGCAGGAGCCATCACTGCATGGAGGCTCAGGGGTGCAGACCCAAAGCCCCCACCCAGATGCCAGCCTGGAGCTGAGCACAGAGGTAGCACTAACCGTGGCCAGTGAGTCACTGAGCTGAGCTGGGTCACGGCGTCAGAGAGCTGAGAGCCGAGAGACCGGGGAACCACTTACCTGGCCCAGGGTCTCCTGCAGCTGCACCTGGAGGTAGGCGGGGGGCGAGGCCGGCACCGTGAGCTCGGCCAGGGACAGCGGGGGTACCGAGCGGGTCAGTGAGGCCTCAGGCGGGGCAGCGGCGGCTGCCGGGGGGTCGGAAGGGGCCGGGTCCTCCCCTCCCGCCTCGCCCACGCTGAGAAGCTGCAGCCGTGACTCGAGGCCTGATGAGTCCTGGGAGGTGGTGTCCGGTGCCAGGAGACCCCTGGGCATCTCCTCGTCTCCGCTGGACATAATGTGCTCCGACAATGCGGCCCAGAGCCCCGCAATCCACGGCTCAACCACGAGCTCTAAGCTGGACAGTGACACAGGGGGAAGAGCGAGGAGGAAATGCTCGAGTGAGTTCGTGAGCTCTCCATAGACGGGGGGGGGGACACTGTCCACTGCTGGACTGTCCACTGCCACTCTGCCCACTATCAGTCTGTCTACTGCTAGTCTGCCCACTGCCCGACTGTTCAGTGTCCAGTCAGTCTGCCCACTGTCTGTCTGTCCACTGTCGGTCTGAGCATCCATGGCATGCGGTCAGAGCCCCAGGAGTCCAGCAGCCTGATGGGAATGCTGTCTAGCCCAAGGGGCGGCCCAGGGTAAGGTTCGCATGGACACAGTACCCCGGGTCCCAGGAGTCAGCCGGGGCCAGGAGTGGGCTGGGGGCAGGGCCAGGGTCAGCCCCAAAGTCACACCTGCGCCAGAAGGCTGCCACGTGCTCGGTTAACACCCGGCCTCAAAAGCAAGACTGCAGGGCAGGGGACCAGAACGCTGACAGGGACACAGTTCTGCTTCCTGGCCGTCAGCGGGTGATGCACAGGTAATGTCAGGTCTCCTACACCCTCCGCATAAAGGTCAGCACTACAGCATCCCCCTTCCCTCAGGTTTAAAGCGGGGGCTACACCTGAAACAAGCACGCGGGCCCGAACAGCCAAACCCACGTCTCTGCGATGACAGTCACAGCCACTACGCACCCCCGCTTTGGGGCTTTCTGCCTGGTCGACTCACTGATGTTTTTCCCCAAAGAATCAAAACTAAACAAAAAAAGAAAAATCATTGCAGGGCCAGAGCGACCATCCAGCAGGTGGCTGACCCGGGTTCGATCCCCAGCGCCCCATAGGGTCCCCCAAGCCCTGCTGGGTGTGACCACAAACGACAACAAAATCTGGACTCACGCAGCGTCTACAGCTCAGCCTTCCACTAGAGAGGGCTGGAGGGTGCCCAGCATGGAGGGTCTCAACTGGCACAGGGGGCACCTGGGCTCCAGCCCGGGCCCTGCACACCTCCCGGAGACCTACCTGCAGTCAGGCGTTAGCCCTGAGCACCAAAAACTTTCTCCTGCATCTGACTTTAATTTTTCGGGGGACAAGGGGTGGCAGCAAACTTCCAGAGCCGCTGGCCATGAGGCTAAAACATCCTTTTGGGAACGCCAAAGAAGCACTACCTTCATTTAAAAGAGGGGCTGGCTCACAGCTGGCAAAATGGAATGGCCTGACTTAACCTCCCCTTCCCTCTCGGGGCAGAGAGTACCAGCGAGGTGGACATCTGCAGGACGCACAGAACCCATGGTAGCTCAGGTAACACGGCCCTGCCGCGCTCAGCCACACTCCGAGTGCGACACAACTCTCTGAGTGAAAGGCTTCTGGGAGGAAGGACCCTGGGCCTCTAGGGTGGGGACACTGGGACCCCTGGGGGACACTAGGTGCTGACCTCCCCCTGCACTGAGGAGGGTTTTCTGGACTGGCGAGGAGAGGGCTGGGGAGAGAGCAGGAGAGGGGAGGGAAGCGGGAGGGGAGAGGGGAGGGAGAGGGGGTGGTCCGGGTGGGCTCTCACCCAACACAGTCGTCCGCGTGCCCAGTGTCATAGAAACGCCGGGCTCCGAGCTCCTGAAGCCGCCGGTCGATGATTTTGCCGCCGTTGCAGAAGTAAGTGTACTCCGAGTCGCCCAGCCCTAGGTGAGGGGCCGCATGAGGGGGCAGGCAGGGTGGGGGTAGCCCCTCTGGGCTAGACCGAGACGTAACTAACCAGCGTCATCCTGGCCCCGGCTGATTCCCCAACCCTGTGAAGGCGCCAACCCTAAGCACGGCCCCCCAGAAGCCGAGGGGCACTTCAGGCCATGATCAGGAAGGCAGCGCTCACATGGATCTCTTTTAAAGAGAGGAGCTGGCGTGCCCATCTAGCAGGAGGGCACTGCCCTGGTGGGGAGGACTGGGGCGGCCCCTGCCACCCTGCAGGGTCCCCAGAGCTGGCCCAGGGCGATGCCTACGTGCAGAGCCAGAGGCCCTGAGCACTGCAAGGTGGGCGTCCAGACAGAGCAAGCAAAGCGGAGAAGAAACGTGGCCGTGGCACTGACAGGAAGGGCCGCAGCACCTGACTGCAGGCCTTGCTGACCGGCAGGGACAGGGTAGGGGCGGGGGAGTCTGTGGGGGAGAGACTCTTTGAGCCCAGTGTCTCAGATGCAGAGCTGGACGCAGCCAGGCCCACCTGCCCAGTATGGCGACAGCAGCACTGGGTCACAGCCAGGGCGGGGGCACTTGGGGGAGACCAGCCGGTTGGGTGGCAGAGCTGCGGTGCCCAGGTCAGCCTCGCAGTCACCCTGACCTGGCCCCACGGCTGCTGGCCCCCAAATGAAAAACTGAAGATAGGCATTTCCCAGCCAGGAGCCACACAGGCCCTGTGGGCAGCTGGAGACTCCTGGGGGCCACAGGAGGGAGACGAGGCAGGACGGGGGTTGGGGGGAGACGTGGGAGAATGACACCGCTTGCAGGGCTGCAGCAGGGCCATGCTGGGGAGCCACCGACCTCCCCAGACCTTCCCGGCTGAGCCTGCAGCACCCTGGGACAGACCCTCAGGGCTGGGAGACCCTCACATGCCTGGGCCAAACCGGAAATCCCGCCTTTGGGGTCCCTGCAGAGGACACTGGCAGGCCAACCGAGGCATGGGTCAGCCCACGGCTCCCCTTTGAGTCAGATGGCCACGGTTTCCATTCAAACACGCAGAGGACAGGGGCTGGAGCGATAGCACAGTGGGTAGGGCATTTGCTTTGCACACAGCTGACCCGGGTTCGATCCCCGGCATCCCATATGGGTCTCCAAACACTGCCAGGAGTAATTCCTGAGTGCAGAGCCAGGAGTAACCCCTGTGCATTGCCAGGTGTGACCCAAAAAGCAAAACAAAAACAAAAACAAAACAAAACACGCAGAGGACAAAAGCCACAAGACCACGCGCCCCAGTGTCTAGACCCACTGAACCATCCTACCCAATGACCATCTCACAGTGAGAGTGAGGCCATCCCCCCAGCACCAGTCAGCACCCCGTTCCCTCCACAAACACCCCCCTCCACCATCAGCGCCCCATCCCCAGCGCCCGGCCTACCCAGCAGCGCATAGCGCAGGTGCGCGAGGCTGTCGGAGGGCAGACTCTTGTTCTGGATGTCCCTGACGAAACCACGGGCTGAGTCGGGGGGGTCTCCAGTGCCCGTGGTGGAGACGACCACCACGACGGGGGAGCGTTCCGTCCTCAGGTCGTACTGCATCACGACAAGCAGATGAGGGCCGGGCCCAGGACAGCTGCTGCACTCTGGGTATCTCTGTGCAGCTGGGTATGAAGCCCAGGGCCCAGCACACCAAGGCATGAAGGCAGGCTGAGGGCAAAGAAGGGGTCTTCCCCAGCGGCCCCCTCTGCTCTGGGGACAGGAGCGGGGCTGGAGCATGAAGCCCTACACCTGATTACATCGCCCACCAGATATACACTAATGAGGGAATGAACTCTCGCCCTGGCACAGTCTCTGCTCCGCGACCTCTCTACTCTTGAAGACCCCTGGAGATAGACGGGTCACTTACATAATAGCATTTGGGCTGATTAGTTACTGCTTTGGTTTTCGAAACTGTCCACCCAATTCAAACGCTGATGCGTTTAAAACCAACTATACTAGCAAATCTACCAAGAAGCTGCCGATGAAACGTGAGTGTGAGGAAAACTTTGTGGTGGCACTGAGCATCCTGTTTCGGTGTTCTAAATGACGGTGGCCCCAACACCTTTTATCTAAGGCAGGAGCTTCTGGGGCCTCACCTTGCCAGACTCGCTGAGGCAGTGCAACTCTGCTGAGAAGCCCTGGGCCGAGGCTCGCTCCAGGATCTCCTCTGCGATGGCCTTGGCCTGTCCTTTCTGTGTCGCGTAGAGCAACAAAAACCTCCTCATGCCGCCAGGCACGGCCAGGGCGGGCAAGCGCTGAAACGGGAAAGGCACAGTGGGCTTGCTGGCTAATGAATCGAAAGGCATTCGGTTTCTCCCGCAATCTTTCGGAAAGACACTGACAACCCCCACCCCATGAAGGGATCTCTCTAATTAATAATCCCCAAACCCCAACATGAGAATTCATCTCCCCACTGAGCGCAGAGGGGGAATCTCTACCTCCATGGTTCAGAGCCCAGATTTCGGAACCAGAGACAGCACCAAAGGCAGGAGAACAACATTCTGCAGGCAAGAGGGGAGAGCCCTGGGCCAGAGTAAGGGTCTGCAGGTAGGACTGGATATCCCTGGCACCCCGCGGTGCCCACCACAAAGGGGTGTGCCCACCTCCCAAATAGGAGTCTGGAGTCAAACCGCTTGGGTCTAGATTCACTCACAATGGCACGGCTAAGAAAAGACGAGACACCGAGTCTCAGTTCCTTCCCCTGAATATGGGGACACTAATGCTCATCCCACCGGATGGACCCCCAGAGTTGTAGAGCCCCCAGATGTTAAGGTGCGGCAGTTCCTGAAACTTTAATCCCTTTGTTCACTTCAAACAGGGCCCAGGACGATAGTACAGCAGGTAGAGCCCCCGTCCGGCCAACCACCATTAACTCCCCTGGCACAATCCATCCAATCTCCAGAGCACCACCAGAAACGACCTCCGGGCAGAGGCAGGAGGAAGCCCAAGCAACCGCCAGGTGTGGGCAAAAGAGCCCCAGTAAAGCCAAACTCCCATTTCAATGGTAGAATTCTTGGATGGAGAGATAGTACAGGGGTCAGGGTGCTTGCCATGCACGTGGCCGACCCCCTCCAGTCCCCAGCTTCCAATATCCCAAGAGCTCCGGGTGCAGCCCCAAACCCCCTGCCCCAAATCTTTTCAAATGAAGTGTCAGAATCCTTGATCTTTACACATACTGTTCAATTATATTTAGCATTAGAGCCCGGCAAGCTACCGAGAGTATCTCGCCCGCACGGCAGAGCCGGCAAGCTCCCTGTGATGTATTCGATATGCCAAACACAGTAACAAGAAGTCTCACGAAGGAGATGTTACTGGGCCCGCTCGAGCAAATTGATGAACAACAGGAGGACCGTGACCGTAAAAAAAAAAAATATGCACGCACCTGTATATGTTGATAAGGAACAAAAATATCTCCTTCCCACATAAGTATTACTACTAATTTTTTTCTTAGAGATAACAAGGAATAAGATATAAGATACCCCTGGGCATAAGAGATACTACAGCTGGTCAGGAGCTCGCCTTGTGCCCACCCTACCAGGGTACCATCCACCGCACCACATAAGATTCTCATAACCCTGCCAGAAGTGACCCCACAGCACAGCCAAGTGTGGCACAAAAACAAAACCAATGAACCAATAAATAAGATACAAGCACTCCGCAGCATCCCGATTCATGGGAACCGGAATGCAAATCATAGTCCTGCATGCGTTGAATGAAACGCTGACACAGTCATCAGCTCCTCTGGTTCAGGCAAAACCACAGGAGGGTAAAATCAACAGCCAGAGGAGCTGGGAACTTCAGAACAACGACTCTAGGGGACCATGAACAAAGCTTGTAAGACCAGGAGCTCAAGAAATTAACGAAGTTAAAAATAAGATAAAAATTGCTCGTGTCTGTATTGCAAACGATAATGCTCCAGAGTAGAGAGAAAGTAAGCAGAAAAGTGCCTGCCTTAGAGGCAGGGTTTGGGGATACTGGGGACACCGGTGGTGGAGAATGTGCCCCGGTGGAGGGAGGAGTGTTGGAACATTTTATACCTGAAACCCAATCGTGAAAGCTTTGCAACTGTATCTCACGGTGATACGATAATAATAATGAAACAAAGTAAAGTAGCTCGTGGAGGGCTGGCCAAGAGCCGAAGGCGAAGAAACGTGGGCACTCACGACCCTTGCCGGCGTGTGTGTCCGCCTGCCTCTGTCCCCAGCGGCTGGCCAGGTCCAGAGCTCTGCAAGGACGAAGCCCCTGGACAGCAGGTACTGCCCCCGCCGCGTGCACAGTGGGTCCCCGGGATGCCCGCCGGGCAGGCTCGGCCAGAGGGGAGGCCGGACAGGAGCTCACGAGTCCCCGACCCGACCCGGGCGTCCAGCGCCCCTCCCCGCTCCCAGCAGCAGGGGCACCCAGTAGTGTCAAAGGGCGCCCAGCAGTGTCCAACGGCGCCCAGCAGCGTCCTGTCCTCGCGCTCCTCCAGGCCCAGGTAGTAGGCAGGCCGCAGAGGCCGGTCCCCTCGGTGCCCCGAGCTCGCCGCCCTGGGGCCGCGCTGCCCACGGCCAGGTACGGGAGCGGCCACCCGGAGACTCACCTGCGCGCGCGAGGCCGGACGTCCCGCCGAGCCCCGCCCGCCGGCCGGAGCGCGCATGCGCCGCCGCTACAGCCACTAGAAAGCGGGGGCGGAGCCGTGCCAATCGCCGGGTGGGGGCAGGGCCCGTCGTGTCCGCGCAGGCGCACGGCTGCTCCAGCCACTGGCGCGCGCACCTACGGAAGCCCACGAGGCCCTGAAGCCCTCCCGGCCGTGCCGCTCGCCCGCCTTCCCGGCTCGGTAGGTTTTCCCCGGGTTTTGAGCGCCGGACCCCGGACCCGGTGTGGCCGGACCGCCGGCCGGGGACCTGAGCGCAGCGCCCGCGCTACCGGCACGCGTGTCCTTTCACTCCTGAGTGGACACGGCTGCCGGGGCGCCCTCTCCCCGCTGTCCTGCAGGCTCCCGCGCTCACTGGCCGCCGCCGGGCGTGGAGGGCAGCGCGGCCGCCCCGCCTGCACCTCACGCACCTTCTGGCTGACCTTCCGCTCGCGACTTTCCTCCCTCCCTTCCCAACCTCCCCATTCTCATCCTCAGTCCCAGCCAGATCCGCCCCGCGAGCGCACCGAGGGGTCCCCAGGGCGCCCGCACGGCACATGTCCAGGGCACGTTTGCAGACTCTGCTGACCGCTCCGAATTGCAGCTACTTTTCCCGTTGCCTTTTCTTTCGAGTAGATCGAAGCAAAAAAAAAAAATAATGCAAAACTCTTCCTCCAACCAAACGCGTGCAGGGCGCGGGTCCTCCCTGCAGCCTGGGGATGCAGTTAACCGGCCCTGCTCGGTTCCCGCGCGTCCTGGAGCGAAAGCATCGCTCCCCAGAGCTGGTGGCCTTGCTGGACTAACCTAGCGCACGTGTGAGCCCAGGGTCGTGGACCAGAGTGACGCTCCTGAGTGCTAGAAGCCGCCAGGCTCAGTTCTAGGGGTTTAGCTGTCCACACGGTGTTTCACCTGCCGCTCTCCTCTGCGTCCACCGATGCTGCGCGACTCTCGGTACTGATGCCCTGGGTCTCTGACGGTGCTTTGTTCTTTCTTCCCACTTTCCGAGCGTAGCCATCCAGCCGGAGGAGCTGAGAACCCGATGGCATGGCCTTGATCACCTTGCGGAGGACCCTGGCACAGCAGCCCGGCTTGGGGTTACGCGTCGCCGCGTGGGCGCTGACGGACCCGCCTGTGAGTGGCCTGCACCGGGTAGCTGCTATCCCACCAAGCCGGCCCGAGTCCTTCAGGGTCAGGTTCCACCACGCCTGCTGTCAAAAGTTCCACTCGGAAAACGGACACGACCCAGGCGGATCCTCGCCCTCTGCGGTCCAGGACCCGGACACAATGCCGCAGGATGTGCACAGCATGGACACGCAACTGTTCCATCAGAGGCTGGACAGCTGCTCAACTTCCGGAGAAGTCCTGAGGTTCCTCGGGCCGCTACCCACGCTGCCTGACACCCTGGCTGCCAGCGCACTGCAGCGTATCTGTGAGCTGGAACGGGAAGCCGGGGAAAGGACGGATGGAGTGCTGCCCGGCCAGGTCCTGGAGAGCCATGTCTTCCACACCCTGTGCGAGTCCTTCCAACGGGCACCGGCCAGCCTGTCCGACCATGGGCTGCTGACCGCTCTGCAAGCCCTGGCTTTGCTGTGTGAGGGGCCCCAGAGTGCTAAGAGTGGCCTGTTACTGGACCTGCTGGCCGAGGCCCAGCGTCGGCTCCAGGGGGGAACCCTAGGCGTGCGCAGCCTCTGCGTCCTTGGGGAGAACCTCGTGAAATTGAGCGGCCCGGGGTGTGCCACCCTCGAACTGATCATCCACCAACTGCAAGCTGAGAAGCTGGAGGAGTTCACCCCAGAGGATGTGGTGGCCCTTTACTGCATCCTGCAGGGCTGTTCCGAGAAGCTGGACCAGCACCAGCCCTTCCTCAATCGGGTCAACAGTTTCGCTCTCTCCATCGTTTGCCAGCTGAGCCCCACGCAGATCAGCCAAATGCTCACTGCCCTGGTGGTGCTCGACCAAACGCAGGCGCTTCCACTGGTGATCAAACTGGGCAAGGGTGTGGTGAGGCACATCCCTCGTTTCACTGATGCGGAGCTGGGCAGAGTCCTGGAGGCCTTCATCCACTTTGGACACAGTGACAGGTTCTTCACAGAAGGCCTGGAGCGGCATGTCGCTTCCCGGTCTCTGTCTCTGGACCCCGAGGTCCTGGGCAAGATCCTGGGCTACTGCAGCCAAAAACGGATTCTGTCCACACCCATCCTGGACGCAGCTGCGGATACGCTCCTCTGCCAGGCGGAGAAGCTGTCACCAGCCCAGGTGTGTGACTTTATCGAGCCGTTAGGGAAACTCAACTACGTGCCCCCCAATGCCTCTGCCTTGTTTAGGAAGCTGGAGAACAGGCTCTTGTCCCAGTTCAAGTCGTTCCCCCCGAAAACTCTGTTGAAGCTTCTCCACTCGTGTTCACTGCTCGAATTTCATCCCGTCAACTTCATGGCAAAGATCTTCAGCCCTTATTTTCTCCAGCAGCTGCAGGGTGAGTGGGGAAAGCTGCCTGGGTGCCTCCGAAGGCTTTGGCTCTTCCTCTGCCCCTCCCTGGGCTTGCCTGGGTTTGGTCCTGCACCAAATCTAAAGATCCCAAACTCGGGCGCTCTGACACCAGCAGGGGGCAGCAGGCATTTTCTTTTAAATTTTTTTAGGAAGCCACTGTGAGATACACAGTTGCAAAGTTGCCCATGACTGGGTTTTAGTTATACAATGTTCCAACACATCTCCCTTCACCAGTGCACATTAGCCACCGACAATGTCAACAATTTCCCTCCTTCCACCTTCCCACCCCCATGGCCTCTGGCAGCAGGTGTCTTCTCTAAAGGTCCAGTTGAGAGCAGGGGTGGTTGATGGGCCCAGTGATGGATTCCTGTCAGGGAGCAGAGAGCAGCTGTGACCTGAAACTCCCACACTTGTTTTTTTCTTGAGAGACTGATGATTATTTATCTTAATTCAAGGACAGTCCAGGTCACCCTGGTGGAAGGAAGTTGTTGCTCACCCGTGATGTGCTTTGTCCCCTTTGAACCCTCTCTGGTCAGGAGCTGGGGTCCCAACAGCCCCAGGGAGAGCCCAGCAGGAAGGCTGCGTTCCCGCGGGTGTGGCCAAGCCCCATTTCACTGGCGGGCTCTGTGTGTTTCAGGCGGAGACCCCCATCTGGACCGGCTGGCTCTGGCGCGGCTGACACAGCTCTTCCTCACTTCCCTCTTGGAATGTCCTTTCTACAAGGTACGCGGGGACCCACGGCACGTGGCCTTCCCTACCTGCATGCTTTGCTGTGTTTTGTGTTCAATTCGGGGACCCCACCTGGCAGTGCTCAGGGCATGCTCGGGGCTTTGCACTAATGAATCTCTCCTGCAGGCTCAGGGACCTATGGTGCCAGGGATTGAACCCGGGTCTGCTGTGTCAAGTCCCTCTGGCACCACACCCAACTACACAAAGCCTCTCTATTTGGGGGCATTCGGTCCTAGAGCTCGTTGTAAACAAATACCCAGTAAAATGTATATATTATATACATACATATATGGGCTGGAGCAATAGCACAGTGGTACGGCATTTGCCTTACACATGGCCGGCCCAGCTGACCCAAGTTCCATTCCTCCGCCCCTCTCGGAGAGCCCGGCAAGCTACGGAGAGTATCTTGCCCGCAAGCTGTCAAGCTACCCGTGATGTATTTGATATGCCAAACACAGTAACAGCAAAGTCTCACAATGAAGATGTTACTGGGCCCACTCAAGCAAATTGATGAACAATGGGAGGACAGTGCTACAGTGCTACATATATATATGTGTGTGTGTGTGTGTGTGTGTGTGTGTATGCACATACACATATGTTACACACTTCCTCTTAGTTTGTCAGTGGGGGTTTGAGGTCTTTTTGATTCGGTTTGTTTTTTTGCTGATTTATTATTATTTCTGGTGTCTTTTTTTGCTGTTTTATTATTATTTCTTGGTGTCTTTCAAGTTTTCTGTGGTCAGATCTATCCATCTGTCACCGCTTCATAGTTTCCTATCTCCCTTGAGTATTTTGCCACACCTAAGGTAATAGGAATACATTCCTGGATTTTAGAAATGCTCTCCTTATTTGGAAGTGCATTTGCCTGGCATCTTGGTCCGCGAGGTGTGGAGGCACTTTAACGAGATTCTTGGTGCAGAGAATCGTCTGCAAACTCCATTTCTGCTGTTGCCCTTCTCCTGCTCCGTGGAAACCTGTTTTCTTACATTTTCCACTGTGTGGTACCTGAGTACCACACAGTGGTACCCAAGCCTTGAGGTGTTGTCACTCTTAGCAGCACTGCGAACATAGCAGCTCCTCCCACTGCCCTCCAGCCCCTTCTCCCTCCCAACCTTGACTGGCTCACTGCACACTCAGAAAACATTTGAAACAAACGGAAAAGTATTTTGCAAAAAAAAAAAATACTTGTGCTTCTTCAGGCTGGCTTCTGCGCTCCACGGGCCTTCCATTGCGGGCAGTGGGCTTCCCGTCCTCCCTTCCTCCCCCTCGTGACTGCACCTCCCGCCCCCAGGGCCCCAGACTCCTTCCCAAGTTCCGGGTCAAGTCCCTGCTGACTCCCTGCTGCTCGCTGGAGAGCCCCGTGGAGTTCCCGCTCTACAAGTCCGTGATGCTGGGCCTCATCGAGCTCCTGGGAGCAAGGTGGTATTTCGCTTCCAAAGTGTTAAGCCCCTATTGTTACACGCTAGGTAAGAAGCCCTCAGGACTCCGCTCAGCCTCGGGGTCCCGGGGTCCCGACACACAGCGGCGGGGGGCACCGGGAGGTCGCCACAGAGTCACAGCCTACCTCGGGCAGCAGTCAGCCTCGGCCGCTGGCTTCCCTGAAAAGGGAGGGTCCAGTGGCAGCCACGACGGAAGGGGGATACGGGAGTGGTGCCAGGAGACCTGCTGATGCTGAATCTAGGGTCACTGCTGTGGGGGGTGTTTCCTGGGAAATGGGCGCTCTGAAGTCCAGGGGCAGTGGCCAGGCTGACATGCTTCGTAACCACACCCACTGTGGGCCCACACACGCAGAAGCGTGGCCAGCAGAGGGGAGGGGGCCCTGGGCCACGGAGCGGACAGGCCCCAGGCACATCTCACTGCCCCCACCCTCAGCTCCCCCAGCGCTGCCGGACATGAGACAGAAGGCAGGGATGGGGCAGTCGCGGGCAGCGGGGACTGTGGGATGCTGGATCTGCTCCGAGAGCTGGCGAGGGGTAGGGGCGGCATCTTAGTGACCAGGGATGAGGGCCCACAGGGACGGATTTGCCCGGGGTACTGGAGCTGTCACCGCAGGGCCCCACGCGTTCTCACCCCTACCCGGGGTGGCGGTTACTGTACAGCGGTGCGCCTGGCGGGTGGACGCGGCGTGGACACAGTCAGACCGGGACAGGAAGGAGAGGAGGATTGTGTCGGTGAGGGCCTTACACAGCGACTGTCTCCTTTTTTCTCCCACCAGACGTTGAGATCAAGTTAGACGAGGAGGGATTCGTATTGCCGTTCACAGTAAACGAAGACATCCACAAAAGGTAGCGGCTCCCGTCCGCGACTCGCTGGGGCGGGAAGCTCCAGTGGGTTCATTCGTTTTGATTCTATTTTCTTGGTTTGGGGGCCACCCCTGGCAGTGCTCAAGAATTACTTCTAGGGGTGCTCTGGGGTCCATGTGGGATGCTGGGATCAAACCCGGGGCATCTGAGTGCAAGACAAGCACCAGACCTGCTATACTCTCTCGCCAGCCCCAAATGTGATGGTCACCACATACGGTCCCCTTTGGAGGTGTGTGTGGGGTGAAGAGAGAGAGAGAGAGAGAGAGAGAGAGAGAGAGAGAGAGAGAGAGAGAGAGAGAGAGAGAGAGAAACCTGCCTGCCATAGAGACAGGCTGGAAGTGGGGGATGTGGCCAGAAGGAAAGTGGAGTCCTTAGCGGTAGGCAGTGTGCACTGATGGAGGGACGGGTGTTGGAGCACTGTATGCCTGAAACCCGAGCATGAACAGCTTTGGAACTGTGTATCTCCCAGTGATTCAATTAAAAACAAACAAACAACAAAAAAAAAGTGATCCCTGAGGAATGTGGCCCCCAAAAACCAAAATCAGAAAAATGAAACTGAATGCAACCCCGCCTGGCAGCCCGCAGCCCTGAGAAGTTCTGCGTGTGGTTGTAAAGCCTCGTTAGTGCCATGGGGTTCCGGGCGGCGACCTGAGGCTCTGCTCTCCTTCCCCAGGATTGCGCTCTGCATTGATGGTCCTAAGAGGTTCTGTGTGAATAGCCGCCACCTGCTGGGCGCCGAGGCCACCAAGCAGCGACACCTCCGCCTGCTGGGCTACCAGGTGGTCCAGGTACAGCCGTGCAGCCCCCTGGCTTCCCGCCCTCTGTCAGGGTGGGCAGGGCTGCCCTGCCCAGCCGGGCTGGACTCTAGAGCCATGTGTCCACTCTCCTCTCCCCTGCGTCGGTGATTGAAAGGGACAAGTGAGGCCAGAGCGATAATCCAGTGGGGAGGACGCTGGCCTGGCACACGGCCAACCCAGGGTCAGTCCCCACACCCCATGTGGTCCCCGAGCCCCGCCAGGAGTGAACCCTGAGCATTTCCAGGTGTGGCCCCAAAACAAGAGAAAAGGATAGTGACCCATTGACACCGGGCACCGGCCTCGCAGTGCCATGCTTCTCACTTTCCGGGGATATCATGAATTATGCTCCTCCGCTTTGTCAGATGACCCCACACCCAAGCGTCATAGAAAATTCTGGCAACCAGAACTGTTCCTGTCCAGATGGGACATCTGAGTGTGAGCCACCAGTAGTGCATGCTGGTGCCAGTATGTTCAAGGGGTGGCATCAGTGCTGGTTGGCACTGGGGAGAGACTGAGGGGGGACTTCAGGTGCCCTCGATTCTTGGGGCCCCCTGCAGACTGCTCGCTGCTTCCTGCCTGCTGACCAGGCCCACCTGCTCCTGCCCACCCCCAGGGTTCTCCTCATGTGACTCACCTCACCCTGGGCCCAGAACACTCCCCCACTCCACCCCCACCTTATTTGTTTTTTCTTTGTTCATTTGGGGCTACACCCAGCAGTGCTCAGGGCCACTCCTGGTGATGTTATGGGGAAACCATAAGTGGTGCCAGGGTTGGAACCGGGATCAGAGCCCACCCACTGTTCTTTCTCCCCAGCCCTCACATGGGAGGGTAGAGTGACGCCATCCGCGTCTATGGGCCAGTGGGCGCCCGGCCCCCAGCCCGGGGCCTCTTCCTGCCCTGGCCTTTCTCCTCTGCCCGTTTGGGCCCCAGCACCACGGTGCCTCAACTTGGGTTGCCCCATGATGCTGCAACCCAAGTCCATGCCAGGATCTGCATTCAACCTGGCCGTTTTGTGGCTGTAGATTTAACGTCCAAGTCTGTGAAGATGCCATCATGTTTGACTCTTCCTTGGGTGCGTCCTGCATACTGCCTGGGCCTGCGCTCGGCCAGGGGCGGCCGGGGCATCGGTGCCCCTGCTGGACTCACAGTCAGGGGCTCTCCCAGGACCCTGGGCCTTTCGCAACTGCGGGCTGATGACGGATCCTCCTTTTCTCCTTTGACAGATCCCCTTCTACGAGATCGAGATGCTAAAGTCCAGGTTTGAATTAGTGGACTATTTACAGAGAAAACTGTTTCCACAAAGGACAGGCGTGCACTGGTGACCTGAAGGAACACAGTCCCGTGTCCTCAGCGAACACAGCAGGCGGGAGAGGTTTGGATCCGCCCTGCCCACCGTGATTACCAAAGACAGAGGGGCCTGGGGCTCTCCGTACATCAGGGATATGCTGAACATAATTTCAAATTAATGATTATAGTTTGTGTTTAATTATCAGCCCCACAGATGCTTTTCTACATCAAACCGAATTGATCCAGTCCAATAAAGGAACATAAGGAAGTGTTACTTTTCACAGTTTTCATTTGGAATTGTGAACCCATTAGCTAAACATATGTTCTCTACACCTTTAGGATTTGGGCTGGGGTGTGGTGTTTTTAGCATCAACCCAGCGAGGCTCCGGGGTTCCTCCTGGCTCTGCACTCAGGAATTCCGCCTGGCAGGGCTCAGGGGACCCCATGGGGCTCAGACCCAGATCAGCTGGGCCCATGTGCAAAGCAGGCGCCTCCCCACTGTGCTCTCTCCAGCCCACACCTTGGTTTCCCCATGAAGAAGCGCTTCCCCCCATCTCCCGCCTGCAGACTTGGCTGGAGGAGGCCATCTGCTAGGGGAGGACGGGAGAGAGCTGGGCAGCCCCCAGATGCAAATGTTTGCAGAATCAGGCAGAACTCCGCCCTGGCTTGATCAGGAACCTTTGTCATCCAAGGGTGTTCTGCTGGGGTTCCCCCCCCCCCCCATAGAAACTATAAAATAGTGAAACGGGCTAGAGAGATAACACGGAGTGAAGGTGCTTGCCCAGCATACAGCTGACCATGTCTGACTCTGCCACTGAAGACGGTCCCAAGTCCCCCCAGGAGCACATTTGGGTATGGCCCCCAAACAGCAAAGACCCTGCGTTCCATCTGCTCCCACAGGGAGGACAGGTAATCCTGAAGGTGGAGGTGAGACTCAGCCTCAGAGTAGGGAAGGCTGGGAACCCCCGTGAAGCAGATGGCTGGAGGTTTCCTTCAGGCAGGAGGCTCAGGGGAGGCTTGGGATCCCAGTGAGACAGGAAGACTGGGGTGTCCCCGTGAGACAGGAAGGCTGGAAGCGTTCCCACTGAGGGACTCCTGCTGACAGTGCTCCTGGGCTCAATTCCCGCCGGCCCTACCGGTCAAGCACCTTTTCCAGCCTTTTCATTTTGACAACAGGAGCCGAAGTCAGGCGAGCTGCTTGTTTGGGCCACACCCCGCCATGCTCAGTGACCAGGTGTGGTGCTGGGGATCAGGGCAGGACTGATGCGCATAAGGCAAACTCCCGCCCAGCTGGACGTCCACCCCAGCCCCACCTAACGTCTCTTTAAAGGTGTTGGCAGGGCTGCAGTGGTGGGACAGCGGGTAAAGCGCCTGCCTTGCCCGAAGCTGATCCGCATCTGCCCCTGGCCCACACTGCCAGGTGCACCCCCCCTCCCAGCCCCCACAAGGCAATTGCACATGACAAAGGGGGAGAGACCCCAAGAGGTGAAGAGGGAAAGCACCCCAGGCAAGGACAGCGCTGGTCTTAGGGACCCTCACAGGGGGATCCACCAGCCCCTCTCCCTACCCCTCCAGGCTTCCAGCTTCGCACCTCTGGGCGCAGCGCCCCTTCAGGCGGGACAGGGAACTGCACCACACGGAGGCCGGGGCTTGCAGAGCAGCTCAGCGCCGCCCTCTTCAGTGAAGAGAAATGCCCAAACTCACCAGCTGGCCCACCTCCCTTCAGAAAAAGAATCACTCAGTAACCCCCCACCCCGGAAATCTACCTTCCCTGATTAGACAAAATGCCCCCCAATTGCTTCTGAATCCACACACTCCCCCACATCATTTCAGCCCCCATCCCTGCTGGGGCGGAAACTGCCCGTGGGGGGGGGGGGGTGCTCTATTCTTCCTCATCAGCCTGGGATGGGTCCCTGGCCACTGCCCTGGGTAGCAGACACCCTCCCCCTGCACTTCAGCTCAGTCCTCCGAACCTTTGGCTGCTCTGGCACTTGCAGGCAGGCGGGCATGCATCCCTCTACCCACCCACAGCCGCTCCAGAGCGCCATCCCACAGGCTGGCATGCATGCATGCAACCCTCTACCCACCCACAGCTGCCCCAGAGTGCCATCCTGTGGGCTGCAGAGGCCGCCAGGAAAGCTCCCCCCCCCCACCCCGGGAAGGAAGAGTGTGAGGGACTCCTGAGACTTGACACTGTCCCACCCAAGCAAGGACAGTCGGGGGTCAGGCAGAGGACTTCAGGTCGACAGGGTGTCCCAGGAAGCCAGGCAGACCGACCAGGAACTGCTTTAGAGCAAATCCGAACTTTAAAAATGTACATCTGGGTGCTATGAAGATGACTTGAGCGAACGAACAGACCAGTCACGGGTTTCACCAGCATGTGACTGTGACCAACCAGGACTTTAGAAATGCAAGTTCTTATAAACTGAAATGCGTGCCTCCTCTACAAGTAGCAGAACTGTCTTTAAAATCCATCCTAGGTACCTTCCCTTGATCATCAATCTCAATGATTTTTTTTTTTTTTGCTTTTTTGGCAACTCCTGTGCATTGGCGGGTGTGACCCAAAAAAAGCACAAGCACAAGCACAAGCATCCTGTTGTTCGTCGATTCTCTCGAGCAGGCACCAGTAACGTCTCCTTCATCCTAGCCCTGAGATTTTAAAAGAGCAATTTCAATGCTCTTTCAGGATTAGAAGAATAAGACCCATCATTGTTACTGGTATTTGGCATACTGAATACGACACGGAAGTTTGCCAGACTCTACCGTGTGGGCAGGATGTTTTTAGTAGCCTGCCAGGTTCTCCAAAGGAAAAAAAAAAAGATAATAAGATGTCGCGCGGCTGCGGATGCGGCCACGCACTTCCGGAAGCTGGATTTTATAGTCTCTGCATCTTGGCCGTTGATGGGATCAACCTGGCGCTGGCAGCAGCTGGTGGGTATGACGCCTACCTACTGGAAGATGTGGGTCTGGTTGGAGAAGGCCCAGTCCCGATCCGAGTAGGCTTGGAGACCTCAGCCCTGGGACCCGCATGCCTGGGTTCCTCTGCCAGTTCTTTCATGCATGAGGCCCATCCGGCTGTGTGGAGAGTGGTTCCAGCATGGTCGTGGCTGGCTCCGGAGGTCCTCAGCTGCTGGGGCTCTGCTCGGGGCGGGGAGGGGGGAGAGAAACTCAACCCTCCCCCCTCCAAGGGGCCCCAGTGAGAACAGCCAGGCGCGGGGGCAGGAGATCCTGCACTGTTTTCCTTCGGGAGCTGGATTTTATAGTCTCTGCGTCTTGGCCGTTGATGGGATCAACCTGGTGCTGGCAGCAGCTGGTGGGTATGACGCCTACCTACTGGAAGATGGGGGTCTGATGATTTTTTTCAATAAAGTATAATCGTGCTACAGTTTTTTCACCATTAGGTCAAAGCAAAGCAGCAGCACACGGTGCTATTCTTAGTGCCGACCACCAGGGGACAGCAAACCTGAGGCTCTCATGGCTGCTGCCACTGAAACAGGTTCCTCCTGGAGGAGAGAAGTGTGTATAAGGGTGTGTGGGGGGGGAGGGGAGGGTTATGCATGCAGACAGGTGTGCAGACGCGTGCACCCCTGCTGCAGGTGCTGTGGAGGCTCCCGGGGTCGGCTGACTTTCTCTGTAATGTGAGTGCTGGACTCAAACTTGCTGCAAAGCACCACCACTTCCAAGGGGGGCTAGCCCAGACCCCCCACTCCTCGGCCCGCTCAGACCCCTGCTCTCCAGACCGCAGAGAAGCTGGGTAACTGGCCCCACAGGGCTGTCGAGTGTCATCTCCCTGGCTTTTCTCCATGCTTTAAAATTCCTGCTCTTAAGATCTGAAGTCACTGACAAAGGATGAGCACAGAAGATCACAAAAAACCCGCCTCTGTCCCCTAAAAGCAAGACCCAGGCCCAAGCTCTCCCGGACACTCACTGCCTCGTGTACGGGGTCATTTCAGGTCCTCGAAGCAGTGTACCGCTGCCTTTTGCTGCTCAAAATTTCTTGGTTTTTTGTTTTTTTTAAAGGCTCCTAACAGATTTAAGGACTATAAAGCCAGTTTTAGGGGGCTGGAGCCATAACACAGCGTGTGGGGTGTTTGCCTTGCACACGGCAGACCGGAGTTCAATCCTCAGTGTCCCATATGGTTCCCCAACCACCGCCAGGAGTAACTCCTGAGTGCAGAGCCAGGAGTGACCGCTGAGCATCACTGGGTGTGACCCAGGAAGCAAAATAAATAAATAAAAATAAAGCCAGCCTTAGTACACCTGACTGAGCTGCATGGGGCAGTGCACAGGACCCCCTTCCGTGCCACCCCAGCCCGCCAGCCCCTCGGCCAGCTCTGTCTGTCCCCGTTAAACCGAGGACCACGGCTGATGTGTTCTCTCCCTGTCTCAAGGCAGGACACCTGACCCGGGCAGAGGCTGCCCCACAGCGTCGTCCCCCATCTATGTGAAGAACATTCGGGGGACACAGTGCAGAAGTTTCTCTGGGCCCGACCCCAGCTTGCCCCCACACCCCGTGGTCCCTCCAGCACTGCGGACAGATCTCGGCTGCCACCACGTGCAAGCTCATGACCTCACGAGGGGCCTGCATAGCTCTGCCAGCAGAGCACAGCTGGGGACAGTAGCTGCCCAGGAGTCAGTCCCACTGAGTCCCCAGCCCCGTCCTGGCCAGCTGGGCTCCGAGGACAAAGCTTTAGAGAGAGCGCAGGACCCCAGATCCGCGGGGGAGGGGGGGGCGCCTCGCCAGCCCCGCCCCACGCAGCCCCGCCCACCAGTACGTCCCGCCCACAAGCACGCCCCGCCCACAGGAAGCCACGCCCATAAAACACCGCGCCTACAGCACGCCCCACCCACCAGCACGCCCCGCCCACAGGAAGCCACGCCCACAACGCACCGCGCCTACAGCACGCCCCGCCCACCAATCTTGCCCCGCCCACCCCGGGACACGCCCCAGCCCCGCTCCCCACGCGGTCTCCAGGCAACCGTGGAACGCGGACCGCGGGCGGCCGCTGCAGTGGGCAGTGGCCGGGCTGGGCAGGCTGGAGGCCGCGCGGAGCGCACAAGCCATGGAGGACTCGGACGACGAGGAGGAGGTGACGGCGGCCACGCTGCGGGGCAGGACGCGCCCGCCGCCCCTCGCCGCGCTCTCGGCCTTCAGCTACATCCCGCCGCGGCGCCAGGACCCCAAGGAGCACAGTTACTACTCCCGCCAGGGCCAGGTGCCCGGCAGGGGCGGGCAGGAGCGGGGCGTGGCGGGGCGGGCAGGGGAGGGGCGGGAGGGAGCAGGGCGGGGTGGGGCGTGGCGGGGCGGGGCGGGATGGGACGGGATGGAACGGGGTGGGGCGGGGCGGGACGAGGGATGGGACGGCGGGGAGGACCGGCTGGGACGGGAGAAAGTGGGCGACAGGGGATGAGGAGAGGAGGGCTGGGGTCAGGAGGGGTAGGGACAGGGAGGGGGAGGAATAGGAAAGGGCAGGGAGAGGAGGGGAGGGCAGGAAGGGGTCGTGGAGGGACTGGAGGGTGGAAGGAAGCAGGGGTGGGAGGGGCGGGGTTGGGCAGGGAGAGGGGAGGAGAGGGGCTGGGGAGGTAAGACGGGGAGCTGGGAGGAGAGAACCGTGAGGGGCGGAGTGAGTAAGCTGAGGGGCCGGGTGGGGGGCTCTGGGCTCAGGTGTTGGGGGCGCAGGGTGGGAGAGCCCTGGCGATGTGAGGGGCTGAGGCCTGGAACTTGGGGCCTGGAGCCGGGAATCTACATGCAGGGACCTGCCGCAGGGGTTGGGGGATCTTGCGTGGGGACCCAGGGGCATTCGTCCGTCGGGGTTCAGCTTGGCCAGGAGGAGGGCTGGGGGTTAGTGTGGAGGGGCTGGGAGGTCAGCAGAGGGTGATGTCTGTCGGAGGGGACAAAGGGAAAGTGCAGAGGTAGGCACTGCCCCTCCCCAGGCCAGCCTCTGGGTGACCCTTGGGGAGCGCTTGGGAGGGCCTGGGAAGCAGCCCAGGAGCTGCCCGCAGGCCTGGGGGCTAAACAGAGATGGGAAGGCACAAACAGTCCCTGTGCCAGCTGGCAGTGCCAGGGACACGGACAAGAGTGACGGCCCCTAACGGGGACGCACTAGGTCTCCGTCACTCAGGGTGAGCTCAGTCCCAGCACCGCAGAAAGCCACATTGGTTTCTGTTGGGCTTGGGTTGTGGGTGTTGGGTTCACACTTGCGGTGCTCAGGGCTTCTCCTGGCTCAGGGGATGCTTTGGGGCTCGGGGACCGAACCCGCTGTGGCCTGGGCTGGAGCAGCTCCTCACACACACCAGGCACATGCTCTACCCAGTGAGCCGTGTCCCACCCCAACCGCGAAGGCTCGGGAGCTTCAGGCCAGGAGTAGCGGTGCTGCCACATATGAGTCCAGGATGATGCAGTTTCCCCTCTGCACACTCACCCTGGGCCTCCTGAGGCCAAGGGACAAGCACAGATTGGCCAGCCAGGATGAGGCTTCTCTGAAGACAGGGGCGACTCTGCATCCAGGAGTTTGGTGTGAAAGTGGGTCTCACGGCGCGGGAAAGGTGGGCATGGTGTCGGCTGGGCACCGATGTGAGGGCACTGCCCTCTTGGTCAAGGTGGGCTCTGGAGACCATGCCCAAGTGTCTGGACCAGGGGCGTGTGGGGGGCCTCTGCATTGGGCTCGTATCCAGGGGTAGCCCCAGACTATGACAGGAGGTAGCGGGGGGTGGGGGGTGGCAGGCAGCCCTGTCCGCCAGGAGCTCGCAGTCTACACCTCTTTTCAGTTGCCCAGGGGTCACTGCCAGCCTCAGGGGACTCAGGCATCTCTCTGGCTGCAGGCGCCAGGATATGGGCGCGGTGGACCTTACCTTGTTGTGAAACCCGGTCCTCTGGCGCTGGAAGTCAGTGAGGGCACGGAGGCCTCAGAGGGACACCCCTGGGCCGTTGAAAGGGCTGTTGGTCCCTGCTCTCCCCACCTCACTGACCAAGAGACTGTGGCCTAGCCAAAACCATTCCATCTTGGGGGTCCAGGGTGCGGGGAGAGGCGGGGGCCTTCAGAAAAAGAAACAAATGAACACAGTCATTCTAAATCAGTCATTTGTGGGATATGAAAATATAAGGTAGAAGACTAATGACCATGGCCAGGGAAAACAGAGGCCAGGAGGGTTGGTCAGTGGTTGGAATCTACCACAGTGTGTGTGGGGGATGTAGGGCAGGTAAGATAGAGAAGGGACAAGTATGACAACCATAGCCGGAAATGATCACACTGGACAAGAACTGAGTGTTAAAAGTAGGTGAAGGGATATTCCTGATAGGCGCTCTGTGTCTATATTGCAAACCACAATGCCCAAAAGGAGGGGGGGGGAGAGAGAGAGAGAGAGAGAGAGAGAGAGAGAGAAGAGAGACAGAGACAGAGAGAAAGAGAGGGGGGAGGGGCTAGAGCAATAGCACAGCGGGTAGGGTGTTTGCCTTGCACGCGGCAGACCCAGGTTCGATTCCCAGCATCCCATATGGTCGCCCGAGCACTGCCAGGAGAGATTTCTGAGTGCATGAACCAGGAGTAACTCCTGTGCATCTCTGGGTGTGACCCCAAAACGCAAAAAAAAGGGGGGGGAGAGGGAGAGAGGTGACTGCCTTAGAGGCAGGTTGGGGGGGTGGTGATGGGAGGGAACCTGGGGACACTGGTGCTGGGAAATGCACACGGGTGGAGGGACGGGTGTTGGAACACTGTGATGGAAACCCGGTCATGAACAGTTGCAGCTGAGGGGACCTTTGGAGCATGACAGTGCACAGAAAACAGTAATGGAGGCAGACACGGGCTAGAGGAGTGACAGATCTCGCCTGCTCAGAGCCAGCAAGCAGCAGTACCAGGCCTCTCCCCCATGGGCAGGACCTGGGGTGAGCAGCTCAAGGGACTGGAGCACATGCTCTGTGCAGGACCTAGGACTGGCCCCTGTTCCGGCTCATTGTCCCCAGCAGCCCGGGAGCCATCCCCAAGCACAGCCTGGGAGCAGTCCCAGAGCAGTGCTGCGTGCCTGTGGCCCCAGTTCCAAAGATTCAGAGGGGAAAGCGGCTGGGATGAAAACCGGCGATGGCCCTAGGGCGGGTCACTGTCTGGCGGATGGCCGGTCGCCTTTGATCTGGGTAGAGATCAGGGCACACGGTGGAGGTCAGTGGTGGTGACCACTGGAGGCCTGCAGAGGGCGCTGCGTGCACAGTCAGGCTGGGAGCAGCCGCTCAGAGGCAAGTTGGCTAGCGGCATTGTCCTGACATTGAAGTATCTGTTATCTTTCAATGCTGGCCGCTTCTTCGACAGACTGGAGAATAAGGAGAGTCGGAAGGAAGGGAAGCACACACATGCACGCAGAGTCACGCACGCGGCCATACACAACCGTGCGTACACAAATGAACGTTACAAACACACATGCACACACAGACGTGCACACATTCACGCACATGCGCGCGCGCACACACACACGCAGGCTCTGTAGTCGGGTACCTGGTGGATGAGTGCTCCCTGCAGGTTTACATTCTGCTGGCGGGTGAGGGTGTAAGGGGGTGCTATGGAGAAAGAGAAGGTGCCAGGCCGGACCCCACCCACCCTCTGAGCACTACTGTTGCCTGAGGCCCGCTCCCTGCTCCCTGCTCCCAGGTGGTCTGGCGTGGCACTCCCTCGGGAAAGGACCCCTGCTGGCCTGCTGTCCCGGGGAGGGCTCCCAGCGCCCTGGGTCAATGCTCGCCTTCCTGCTCTCTCCACCAGCCAGGGGTTGTCTCCCTCTATGACAGTCTGTTCAAGATAGAGCTGGGCTACAACCAGCGCCTGCACCGGGATGACAGGGCGCACGCCAAGAGCCTGGGGCTGCACGTGAATGACGAGGTGAGGGGGGTGAGTTAGGGAGACGGAGGGGCACCCCAGGGCTGTGCCAGGCTCCTCTCCCCTCTCTCCCTCTGTCTCCCCCTATCTCCCTCCTCTCTTCCCCTCTTTCTTTCTCTCTCCCCCTCCCCCTTCCTCTCTCTCCGTCCTCTCTCCCTCTCCCTCTCTCTTCTCTCCCTCTCCTCTCCCTCTCTCTTTTCCTCTCTCTTTTCCTTTCTCTCTCCTTCCTCTCTCCTTTCTCTCTCTCCCTCTCTCTCCCCTCCCCCTCTCTCTCTTCTTCCTCTCTCTCCTCTCTCTCCCTCCCTCCCTCTCGCTCTCTGTTCTCCCGTGGGTTTCCAGGATGCTGCTTCATTCTAAGACAGGCTCTTGTCCAGACAGCATGTCTTGGCTTAACCCCCGAGTCCTGGCCCCAGAGCTCTGGGAGGGCCACAGGCTACCCGCCCCCAGACCCCCGGCCACCTCCCCCCACATCTCCAGGAGAAGGGCACGCAGTGGGTGGACGCTGAGGGCAGGACCCAGGTGAGGGGGGCTCGCCCTCCTGATGCCTTCCCTCCCAGACGCCAAAGCCCATGCGGTACCGGGTGTAGGGCTGATGAATCCATGCACAGGAGTCCGGAGGCAGCATTCTCGGGGGCGCACGGGGGCTGTGTCTGCCCTGACCGGGGGCACCACGTACTGAAGCCCCCCTCTGGTGTGAGGCGAGGAGGGTGCAGAAGCTCCCGCTATTTGAGCACCACTTTTCCTCCAGCACTTCTGGGTCGATCACGTGGGTAGTGCCGCTGCTGCATCTCGGCGCTAGAAAAGTTCCCGAGGTCACTGACCTCCAGAGTCCTGGGATGCCCCACACCCGGGCTAGAAGCATGGAGGGACACGGGGTGGGGTGTGGCGGGGAGGGAAGCATCCCGGAGAGAGGAAAGCTGCAGTGAGCCCAGCGCTGGAAGGGCCAAGTGCTCGGGTCTGAGCAAGAGAGGGGAGGGGGGGAGGGAGAAGGCCCAGTGTTGGTGGCCCAGGGCGGAAGCCCGGGAGGTCGGGGAGGGGCGGAGGCCCCAGGGGCCGGGGCCGGGAGGGTGCTGGGCGTGGCTGACCGCGCCCCGCCGTCCCGGGCGCAGGAGAAGGAGCGCACGGTGGGGGTGCTGTCCTCGACCGTCTATGGGCAGCGCATCAACCAGCTCCTGGAGCCGCCGAACCGCGACTACCGGCGCATCAAGCACACCAAGGCCGACTTCCACCGCAAAAACGAGATCCCGGGCCTGCGGGAACCGGGCTTCGGCCACGTGTCCCCGGCCTGAGCGCCTGCCGGACCAGGGACCTTGCGAGCCCGGCCCCGACCACGCCCCGGCCACGCCCCTCAGCGAAGACCACGCCCCTTACCAGCCTGGTGCCCAGCCCTGACCACGCCCTGCCCGGAAAGGCCACGCCCCTCACCCAGCTCCGGGACTGGCCAGGCCCCTGCCCCGCCCCTTCATGGAAGCCCCGCCCCGCCCCAGACTTTCAGCCTTGCTCCCTGCAGGCCCCGCCCCTTGAGGGGTTCCAGGTAGGCCACGCCCAGTCCCTGTTTCCCCCCCACTCATCCGGACCCGGACCCCGGAGTGCTCAGGGCCGAAGTGGTTTCACCACCACGCCCCCCTTTGCAGAGAGGTCCTCCTGGTATCCTCTGGAAACTCTTCCTTGGCGACAAATAAAGGGCACTCTGTTTCCACGTGGGGCCCTGGGCACATCTCAGTCCTTGGCTCTCTGCCTAGGCCGGGCTTCCTGCGGGAGGCGCAGAGCTGGGGAAAGGGGGACGTGTCGGGGGTGGGGGACTGTAGCTGCTTTCCCCAGCTTGCAAGTTGCTACCTGTGGGGCCTCCCAAACAGTCCTGAGTTGCCCCTGTTTGGGGTTGGGAGGGTGGGGAGCCAGGATGGAAAGAGTGTCTGGCTCAGTCCTCATCTCCGGAGGAGCAGAGAGGATGGGGTGTCACTCCTCAGGGGCCTCTAGCCAGGGGGCAGGGGAGAGACCAGATTTCAGGGGCCACTTCCACATGCTTTACCTGCGCGATTGGGTAGGTGGTCCTGGAAAGTTTCCAGCGTGGGGAGGATGCTTGGACGGCAGCTGGGTGTCCACGAATTCCACCCAATCCTCACACCCCCTGGAGACCACATCAGAGTCCTCAGAAGGTGGGTCACCCCCGCCTGGCCACCCGGAATCCACTTTAGTTAACTGACTTTAGTTTACCAGAATGCTCATAAACCGGAGGCTCCCAAGACCCCTCTTGGGGCTGGAGTGTTCAGTAGAGCTGCCCACGGAACTCAGCAACCGTCTCCGGCTCTTTTCCCGATTGTCACAGAAAGGCCTTGGTCAGGAAGAGCAGCAGCTGGCACCCGCTGGCCTTGCTTAAAAGTGAGGTCCCCAGGGCGGGGGTGTGAGCCAGCAGCAGAGCAGCAGCCTGGCCTGTGAGGTTCAGGGTGCAGCCCCAAAAACGAAATAAAGAAGGGGAAGCTCTGGCGGTGGTGCCTGGGATTTCAGCAGTGTCCACAGGTGGGGGCGTCTGTGGGAACCAGCAGGGTCCACGGGCCGGGGGGGCGGTGTCTGTGGAATATTCATGGGGGCTGGCAGCCACCACTTCCCACCTAAATGTGGAAGTGTTGACTTTGGAGACAATCGGGGCCTTATTCATGTGTTACAATGTCATAGCGGGGCTAGATTTTGACTGAGTGGGTCCACTGGGGGAAAAGTGTTCCTCATCTACTGTGATTCAATTTCCCTCTGCTGAGTATTGAATGGGCAGGTGATTTAATTAATTTCAATGCTGATGTCTCTTGGCTGGTTTTATTGTTTGGATTCTCTCTAGACATTTGACACAGAATTGCTGGCAATTTCAAGGGTGGGTGACTTCTAAATACTTCTTTACGCTTCTGAAAATGTTCCTTTCACTGCAGGTGTCTTTCATTTTATTTTCTAATAAAAGCTTTACATTATATTTATAGCAACATGATGGAAAATACATTTAGGGGACCCGAAAGAGTACATTGGGTAAGGTACTGGCCTTGCACACAGCTGACCCTGGTTGGATCCCTGGCACCAATTATGGTTCCCTGAACATTGCCAGAAGAGATCCCTGAGTACAGAACCATGACTAAATTCTGAGCACTGCTGGGTGTGGCCCCAGAACAAATAAATAGAAAATAAAATAAAGTTTGGGTTATTGAAAGTTTTTAAGTTGCTTTATGATTATTAAGAAAGATGACTAGCACTGTAGCACTGTCCTCCCATTGTTCATTGATTTGCTTGAGCGGGCACCAGTAACGTCTCCATTGTGAGACTTGTTGTTACTGTTTTTGGCATATCAAATATGCCACGGGGAGCTTGCCAGGCTCTGCCATGCGGGTGGGATACTCTCGGTAGCTTGCTGTGCTCTCCGAGAGGGACGGAGGAATTGAACCCGGGTTGGCTGCATGCAACGCAAATGCCCTACCTGCTGTGCTATCACTCCAGCCCAGAAAGATGAATATAAGTGATAAATTAGTGTCAAGCTAAATAAATGGCTGTTTAATCAGATCCTCCTCCTTTAACGTATTCTTTTTTTTTATTGAATCACCATGAGATAGTTACAAAACTTTCATGTTTGAGTTTCATTCATACAATGATCGAACACCCATCCCTCCCTCCAATAGTGTACATTTTCCACCAGCTATGTCCCTAGAATCCACCCCCACCATCCCCCCCCCCCCAGCCTCTATTGCAGACAATTTTCCCCATACTCTCTCTCTACTTTTGGGCATTATGGTTTGCAGTACAGATACTGAGAGGCCATCACGTTTGTTCCTGTGTCTACTTTCAGCACACATCTCCCATCCCGAGTGATCCCTCCAACCATCATTGTCTTAGTGATCCCTTCCCTATTCCAGCTGCTTCTCCCCCAGCTCATGAAACAGGCTTTCAACCGTGGAGCAACATTCCTGGCCCTTGTGTCTACAGTCCTTGGCTTTAATCTAGTCTTAAGAAATTAAAATAAAACAGGGCTTCCTTTGACAAAAAGAGCTCATGGCAATGTGAGGCAAATGAAATGTGTTTCCCTCGGCATCTTGATGTTCTACTCTTGGAAGCGAATCCCCTAAACCCCCTTGAAGGCATGGAGGAGAAGCACTGCGGCAGTTTGTTCAGAGTTTATGGGCGCCACCCTGGGCTGGGGTCTTCAAGAGCTGGTGGCTGTGCTCGGCAGGGAACGAGGGTCCTGAGATACCCAGGCAGAAGCCAGGTGTTTCAAAGGACAGCTGGGATGTGAATGTCTTCAGGAGACTGGATGGGCCAGAAGGTGCCTGTGGGCTCCGAGGTGATGGCGTGTTGCGTCAAGCCCCCTGGCCCTGTGGGAGCTGGGCGCGGGGGTAGCACTGCCTGACTTCCGGGGCAGGGGTTTCCCCCTTCCAGTGTCCTCATGGATCATCTGCGTCCTGGGTTCCGGTTCCCTCCTTTGTGAAGGACTGAGCTGGAGGGGGGGGGGGGGCTGCTCTGGCTTCATCAGGTCCCTCTCAGCCGCAGAAATTGTTTTTCCAGCACCCAAGCGTGTGGGAGCCTCCAGCTGCTCCGGCTATGACTGGGCCTGAGAATTGGCGTGTCTGGGAAGCTCCCAAGGGGTGGCTGATGCTGCCAGTCAGAAGACAGCCTTTGAGAATCCTGGACACACAGACCCGAGGATGGCAGCCCCTGCTGTGATGCCACCCCCTTTCGAAGGTGGGTCTGCTCTTTGCAGCGGTGCTGGGAGATGAGTTGTGATCTGTGTACTCAGGACCTGGTGCTGCCGCTACCGAAAAGGACAAGCCTGGTGTCCTTTGGGAGAGACCCGAAGTGATGGTGCTCTGTGGCCGGAGTCAGGGAGTGAAAGCAGGGGCCAGAGGACCTCAGTCCTGTATGCAGTGTGGTCAGTGCTGAGTGAACTGGCAGGAAGCAACAGACTTGGCTCCTGGGCTCGCTGGGAACCAATGGGGCTGCCGGCAGGGGTGGGGAGAAGGACAGAGGGCCTCTGGGGTGGGCCCAGGATACACCTGGCAGTGCTCAGGGCTGACTCCTGGCTCTGCATTCAGGAATCACTCCTCACGGGGCTCAGGGGACCATATGGGGTGTTGGGGATCAAACCTGGGTCAACTGCATGCAAGGCAAGGACCCTACCTGCTGTACTATCTCTCTGGCCCCATAGGACGCACACACACACACACACACACACACACACACACACAAACACAGCTAACCTCCTGAATATCTATAGTATTATCAACCAAACATTCACTTAATCACTTAATCACTTAATCCCCGTTATTCATCGATTTACTCGAGCGGGTGCCAGTAACGTCTCCATTCATCCCGGTTGCGTGCTAGCGTAGCCCAGTGGTATCTGTTCATTCTAGGAACATGCAGAGCCTCAAACTGATCATTCAGGGTCTTGACGAAGAAGTCTGACCATCTTGTAGGTGGGCGTCCACGTGATCTTTTGATGTCCCGTGGAATCCAATCAGTAATGGCTCTAGTCCAGCGGTTGTCTGTAAACCTCATTACGTGTCCAGCCCATCTGATTTTTGATGCCTTGGCAAATGAGACAGCGTCCCTGATTCTTGAGCGTTGACGAAGATCAGAACTCCGGATTCTAGCTCTCATTTGAGTGAATCGTGATATTCCAAGCATAGTTCTTTCAATTCCTCTTTGAGAGACCCGAATAGCGTTCTCATCCTGTTTTCGTAGGGTCCAGGTCTCTGAGGCATATGTTAATGCAGGAAGAACAGTGGAATCGAAGAGATGTGCTCGTAGCTGGAGGTTCTTTGTCCTTTTAGTTATTTCTTCAACGTTCTTGAAGGCATTCCAAGCCGCTCTCTTCCTCCTGCGCAACTCAGGTGCCAGGTCATTCATCATGTTGATTTCTCGACCTAGGGATATATAACTGTTGCATTTGGAGATGGTGGTTCCGTTGAGAGCGAATGGAGCATCAGGAACAAGGCTGTTTCTCATAAACATTGTCTTCGTAAGATTCAGCTGTAGTCCGACCTTTCCACATTCACGGTCAAAGTCGTTCAGCATTTGTGTCGCTTGGTTGATGTTTGGTGTTATTAGAACGATGTCATCAGCAAAGCAGAGGTGGTGTAGTTGCCAACCATCTATCTTCACTCCCATGCTTTCCCATCCCAGTTGTCGCATGATGTTCTCGAGGGTGGCACTGAAGAGTTTTGGTGAAATGGTATCACCCTGCTGAACCCCTCTCTTGATATGGATGATTACTTCTTTGTAGAATGGTGAGATCTTGGTAGTGAATCCGCAATAGAGCTCACGAAG